TTAATTAATAATTAGAATAGAAAAGAACTCTATATACTACTTGACTACTCCCTATTGATGTGACACAATATTCTCCTTTAACATGTTCCAAAAAGAATGTCGCTTTCTATAATTAGAATAACTTTAAATATATATTCTTACCCCTAATAAAGTAATTTATAGCTATACAAATGTCTAAGATTTATTTTAGACTACAAATATCAAAAGTAGGAATGTACACGCTTATCATATGGCTTGGTTCGATTTTTACACTTAACCATTTGACTTATCAATTTTCAACTTTTATGTATTAAAACCCTAATGAACCAATAAGATATTGATTGACTCAATTCGACTTTACGGTTACCCATCGATTATTGACGGATTATCAGTTAATCGACTGATTGTTAGCTTTAAAGCAAATTTGTATAATGGTTGATATGAACATGAATTAAAAATCATCCTCAACCAAGGAATCAATACAAATTCTTGATTGAATGAAACACTTTTTGATATACCTTACAATAGCAAATCACTAAAAGAATATATAAAACATCTTTAGCATTAGGTGAAGATCACACACTTCACTGAAACTTGTATTGTTGTCTTTTTTCATATTTCATAAAGCTTTATGAGTGTACATTGAAAAAGAAAAGAGAAAGAAAGATTCTGAGGGTAGATTATACAGGTAAAAGTGTATCAGGATAGAACATTTGATTTGCATATCAGATAGGTTTTAGTTTCGAAATTGTGTTCAACCAAGTTCCTAAAAAACTCTAAAGAAAAAAACTCTTGTAATCCAAGGAAACTGGACTAGGCACCACACTAGTAATCTAAATCAGTATAAAATATCTATCTCATTTATTCTCATCTGTTTGCTTCATATTTTATTTGTGTTACTAATATGCAGGTTAGTCGACTTCCTTCAGAAAGCAGTCGACTCGGAAAAAATTTCAATTCACTCCCTCTTGACTTTCAATTTCGATATAAAATTGAAACCAAATAAGTAGTTTTCATGTACTTCAATTGTAGCTTCTTGTCCAATGGCTTGAACCCATCGAATGTCACCATCGTTGCTGGCAAAAAATACAATTGGTACGTAGGTGGTGGCAATGGTAGTTGAGGTGAGTGACAAATGAAGACAAATGTTTTGGGGCAAAGGGAATGTTTAGCTAGCGTTTGACTTATATTCCTAAATATTTTTGAAAAATCTAATTTAGGTGAAGTTTGAACTAATGAAGTCTCAAAATGTGTTTGACTATAATTTTTGGAAACATATTTTACTTTGTTTTTGAAAAACATGAAACATGAATAATACACATAAGTTCTAAAAACTATCAAAATACTATAAGCTTGACACAAAATTACATTTTTATAATGAACTAGATATTATATTATTCTAAAATTATAACATCACTTTAAAGAAAACTATTTATAACACAATTATATAGCTACTACAATTCATCAAATTATAATTAATTACGATGATCCATCAGTGCAAGAAATAAATACTGATAATAGCAGTAGTACTTATTTAACTATTCTTTGATATAATCTTCTCATATTCTACAAACAATCTCTTTATAATGCATTTCCATATCAGATGATCAAAATGGATAAATACTAAATAGGAATCAGTTAAGGTCATAAATACTCTTTTTTTTATTATTTATATAAAATATAAAAGTTTGGGATATGTTTTAATTATATTTTAAAAGATCGACAACTATATTTTGGCCCAAGTATAAGATTTTAGCAGATTTTGAAATTTATCAAAAACAGGACACATTTTCTAATCAAATTCATATTTGCCAAAAAAATTCTTAAAAAATGCTTTCAAAATTTATGACCAAAGGAATCAGCTTAAGTATTTCTTCTTTTTTCTAACTCATTTATTTTATCTAATTTATATCTAATCTATTTTTCTGGCTTGACTAGGTGAGATAGCCAAGCCATTTCCTTTTCTTTCGAATAATAGATTGGGCAAAACCACTTAAACAGAAAAAAATAAATAAAAAAAAAATCTAGCTGCTATTGGCCTACAAGCCTTAGAAAAATATGGTCTGTTTGGTAATGCTGTAAAGTTTGAATAAGTTAAGTAATATTTTTTCAAAACTCTATAAAGAAAATGGAAATAAGAAATAATAATTTTTAAAAAAAAGGTAAGATGGTTGACAATTGGGCACACTCTTCTACTATAAATATGGGAAGAATTAAGAACCATATTCCACATTAAGCAGTGCTAAGCAATAAACTTAGACAATATCTTTTCTTCTTAATTTCTTCCTTTTTACTTCTAATAATTTCTTTGTCATGGCTAACATATCTTTTTTACTAGTTCTAATTATAGTCCCTTTTGTTCTAATTGGAATGAGCTCAGCTCAATTGACTTCCAATTTCTACAATTCATCATGCCCAAATGTTCTCTCCATAATCAAAACAGCTGTGAATTCTGCTATCGCTACGGAGTCTCGTATGGGGGCTTCCTTGCTTCGTCTTCATTTCCACGACTGCTTTGTTAATGCAAGTTACCTCACTTATTTTGCACACTCTGTCTCAATTTTAGCAATACTTTTGATTTTTGAAAGTCAAACAAGTATTAATTAATATTGAATATGCAGGGTTGTGATGCATCTGTGCTATTAGATGATACATCAAGTTTCACTGGAGAAAAGACTGCTAATCCAAATAGTGGATCCATAAGGGGATTCGATGTGATTGATACTATTAAAACTCAAGTCGAATCATCATGTGCCGGTATCGTATCTTGTGCTGATATTTTAGCTGTCGCAGCTAGAGACTCTGTTGTTAAAGTAAGTTAACAATTAAACTAATACTATTTTTTATTTTTTTTTATGTTTATTAATTTAACTTAACATGAATCTATGAAAATAAAAAAAATCAAAAAATTGGTTTTCATAAGCTATAAGCACATGTGACATGCCTTACAATAGAATAATTGTAACGAACATCCCATATGTAGTTGATGGATTTTTCAAGGAAGTTATTATAAGCATGTGCAAATATATTTTTTAACTAATAAACTTGTTGGTTAGGAAAAGGAAAAGAAAGCAAGTTGACCTTTATAAAAAACAGGACACTAGTCAAAGTTTTGATATATATAGAAATTATATATTATAATTGTATTAGTTGTTGAAACTAATTATATTATATTGTTTATGATTTATCAGCTTGGTGGACCTAGTTGGACTGTATTACTTGGAAGAAGAGACTCAACCACAGCAAGTTTGAGCACTGCAAATAGTGACATTCCTGCGCCAACTTTGAACTTAAGCAGTCTTATTTCTTCCTTTTCTAACAAAGGTTTCAATTCCAGAGAAATGGTTGCTCTCTCAGGTTTATTTTTTACATAAAAATACATAAAACATTATTTTTTTTTATCAATTCACTAGACTCATAGAAAATACGCTAAATCAAAATATCGTTGAATTTTGCAGGTTCTCACACAATAGGTCAAGCAAGGTGCACTACTTTTCGCGATCGTCTCTACAACGAAACTGATATAAATTCTTCATTTGCAACATCGGTTAAATCGAACTGTCCACAAAGTGGAAGTGACAATAATATCTCTCCATTAGACACCACAAGCCCAACCACATTTGACAATATTTACTATAAGAATTTGCGAATTCAAAAGGGTCTTCTTCATTCTGACCAACAACTCTCTAGTGGAGGATCAACAGACTCTATAGTTAACACTTATAGCTCCAATTCAGCCACTTTCTTCACTGATTTTGCTAATGCCATGGTGAAAATGGGTAATCTTAGCCCACTTACCGGCTCAAATGGTCAAATCCGCAAAAATTGCAGAAAAACCAATTAAGATTTCGCACAAAAATGAGATTTTAAAATGTAATCTCTAAATTTCAAGTGTTGCCTATGTGTTTTTTTTTTTGTTTTTATCGAACTTTGACGTTCTATGTGGTTAATTTGGAGGTAAAGGTGGCAAAGTTCCCCCTCCAATGTGTAACTTTCCAACGGTTGAAATAAGATAATTAGTGGTTTTATTTATTGAATTTGTTGACTTGATAAGATTTTATTTTATTAGGAGTGTTTCTTATATGTTTTCGTTTTTATTTTATCGCATAGGCTTTGATGTACTATGTATGTTTTAAATTTGGAAGAAACAACCTTTTGGAGATGTTTGTCAATCATCAAAGTTAATTTCAGCTCATCTCAATAAATTCTTCCATTTTGATAATGACAAATTTATGTGCAATCTTAAGAATCAACTTCGATCATCGATAATGACTTTGTAACATTTTAGATTTTGCATATAAGTCTAGGGACTCACCGTCTACTCATTGTAATCCTATAAATAGCTAAATATAATAATTTTGAAAATGTCTTAAAGTACATTTAACCTTCAATTAAATAGCTTGAGCGACTTTAGTCCTTGCAAAACTAGTAGAAGCTAACGACAATATGAAAAACCTAATAGATATATTATTTAAAATATTTATGAAGTTTTTTGAAGTGTTGTTAGCTTCTGTTAGTTAAAGAATCGAAGTGCACAAGTTATTTGATTAACAATTAAATGTGCTTAATCAAATAATATAAAGATTGTGAATGAAATAAGATGATAATTCAAAGATTCAAATCATTATTTTAAAAAAAAAAAAAATCATGTAAAAATAATGCAATTTTTCGCGATTTGTCCTCAACTGATTCCACTTCCTGTTACAGAGGCAACATGTTTGCTCTCAGATGTATACATTCAATTTAGTTAAGTTAATCATAGTTAGTAACATAACAACATAATGAAGATTATCGTAAATTCTAACTTTATGCATGATACTCCAAAAACATTTGTTTGATTCTTTTTTTTTTTTTTTTTAAATAGTGTCTCTATTTATAGGACACATATTATTTTTATTTGTCCAACAATTATACATTAATATTTTGATAGAAATTAAAAATGTTGATTTTGACAAATATAATTGATTAGTACATACTTAAAAAGACTATTTTAAAATCTATCTTCAATTTAAAAAATTTAAGAAGAAAAGCGCGCTTTTTCCCCATTCTGCTCCGGTCACTTTCCTCAACTCCTATCGCCGGTAAAGCCACGGTATTTGATCTTCTCCGGTTAACTTTATTTTGAACTTTATTCAACTAATTTCACAGATTTGTACAAATTTTCAGATCTGTGTAGCAATTTTATAGTTTCTCTCTGTAAAAATTGTTCTTGTTTTCTATATTTAAAAGCATAATTTGTGGTGGAATTACAGAAATTCGTTAAAATCCGTGACTGTATCGTGTTGTTGAAAGGCTTTTTTTTAGGTGTTTACTGCTATAATTTAAGAACTGAATGTTAATTTTTGTATGTATTTTTTGGTGGAATGCTCTGAATTTTTTATGGTTTGTAATTTGAAGCTGTATATAAGAACCCTACCTGTAGCATTTCCTTAGTTCTACTAAAGTTAAATGTTAATTCATGTCGTGTTAAATGTTAAATGTGGTTTTTACCTTCGGTTCTGGCCTTGGTGGACTAAGTTACCTGGTACTGGTGGGAGGTGAAAGGTATATTAGTTGAGGTGCACAAAAGATGATACGAACAATATGATTATAGAAAAAAAATGCCAAGAGCAATGTTAATTTTCTCTCATGACTTTGGCTGTATTGATTTGGAAAACAAGTGGTTTACTTGCATTTCTACTGTGTCTAGCATTGGTTGACCCTGAATTTCTTAGTCATGGGTTCTTATGTGTGTTTAATATAGAGTATTGAGTTGCTACTAATCACATAATGGGTGCTTGGTCAATCTATTTGCATATTAATACTAGTTTCATGTATATAAATATAGTGCACGTGTCAAAGACAAGCGCCCAATGCCCATTAGTCCCTAGTTTTTGAGGCTTGTCTTGATTTTAGATAGTAATGTATGTTGTGTGACTCTTAATAGCCCTGTAGCACTATAGTGGAAGTACTGGCTATATAAGGTTGGTCATGGATGAAGATGTGTAAAGCAGGAACTTAGACTATGATTGTTTTTAAGGAACTTTATTTTTTCTTTTCTCCTTTTTCCCCAAGAGTTGTTTGTCAGGGTAAGAGGGAAAGAGGGGAAAATGGACATCAAGGATGCGGGATCGTCACTTGATTCTTTGGTATCCTCATTCAACACTCGGATATCGGAGATTCAACAGCTTGTCGTAGCTCGAAACAGTAAATTATCTGCTCAACTTTTTGTTCTAAAGATTTTCAAAGCTACTTATTGCTGATGATCAATTTTTGTGCAATGTGAATAGTGTACCCTGCAAGCAGCGTTTCAGATTTGTCAGCTATTGACTCTGCATTGAAGGTGTTGGAGCTTCAGCTCCACAAAATAAAAATCCGGATGCGTGAAGAAACTGAAGCCATCCCCAAAGCCAAGGTATTTCTCTTTGTCTCTCTATAAGCCTGAGTCTGTATTGCCAATTTGATTTAAGCAAGGATTATCTTAGGCATGCTATCCATTTCCAAATCCAGAAAATTCAATACCTTGGAGGTGTTCCCCTTTCTATTATTATGGGGACTGTCAATTGATTTCTACTATTCGTTCTTTCTAAAAAAACAAAAAGTCAAAAATATGTTCTTGTCCTAGTTATGAATATCTAGAATCCAATTAGCACATTTTACGAAAATTCAAACATTTGATCAGTGTTTCATAAATCTTACTGTAGGGTTAATATATTTGTTATAGGGCCCACATTCCTCTGTGTTTATGGTCCAGCTTGTTTTTGGAAAATCAAGTGTGGTATTGTTCTGCACTAGTTCTAAACTGTAAACAAGTATTGTAGATGCAATAACTCATTGCTTCTTCGGCTGTATTTTTGGCTGCAGAAACTAATAGAAGCGTCACTGCGGCAGCAAAAGAAATTGCAAAATTTATCTTCTGTAGTTCCATCATATGTTCCTGATAGAGTGACTAAAACAACTGATGATGCTACTAAATGGTAACATTCTGTACTATGTAATGAAATATCTTTACTAACATGCGGTCCTTACTCCTTAAGAAGATTTGTTCTTTCTGACTATGAATTTGTTTTTATAGTTTAAATCTAGAGCCCATTGTTGAGGATAGTTTTGTTTCTCTGAAACTTGAGGAGCCTGCACCAAAGGTGACAAACTCTCCTTGATTCTCTAACTCTCTACATATCACATGATTTCTTCTGTCCTGAAAATGCAGTCACGTCTTATGTCTCTGTAGTCTGTAGCTTGATAAATAGAGAAGTGTGGTATCAGATTGCTTAAAGGGTAAGATTCATACTTAATCCAGTCAAATAACAGGAAGGCCCTAAGTGGGATATCTGATTGCATAAAGGGTGTGATTCACTTTTTTTTTTCTTCTAATTAGCCAGAATAATGGAAAATCAATTCATTCTAGGACTGGGAATGTGCTTTACTCACTCAATGAATTAATTGTTTCTAGGACCTTCCAATGAGGTCTGTGAGGGCAAAGAAAAGGAATCCCAAGTTGTCACAGATTATGCTCCTCAATTTTAATATAATAGTGATCAAAGGATGCAGTTTATCATTCTTCACCTAATATGAAAGACATTTACTGAATGATTCAGTTGTTCAATGGTCGGGTCAGCTTCAACCAAAATTGCCATGCTATGATCTCACCCTATATTTTGTTAATTTCAGGAGAAAAAAGGTCGCGTCTCCCCTCCACTTTTCTACATTAGCTCCGATGAACTGAATTCTGTACCACCGTAAGTTCTTTCTAACTTCTCATAAGGTAGCACTTCTTTATACAGCAATGTGATTGCCAACACTCTAACCTCCTCCCAGAAAGAGAGACCATAAGTTTCCTGATGTTAAAGAGATGCCGATTTCTTTTACTGCTTATGCATCATAAAACTCTATCTCATATATTTGCTGACAATAAGAGATGCAAATTGCAGGTATATGAAACAGCGGATCACTTTGGAAAAGGTCAATGCAGCAATAAATGACATGGCTACTTATGCTGAAGCAACTTCCCAGCTTCTCACAGCCCCTCGTAAAAAGGTTGCATTTTTGTCAAATCTGGTTACAAATTTTACTTGAAACTTGATATCACCCCAGTGCTGATACCTATTTTTTTTTCCTTCTGAAGCTCAAAGAAAATCTTGTGGAGAGAGCAATGGTAAGTGAACTGAATCTTGCCTATTTGATTCAACTTTCTCATAACTAAATTTGATACCACATATCCAGTAGAGATTGGACCTTTGTCCTTTTAAATTAAATCTGCAGATTTAAGCCTCAAAAAGTCAGGATAGATTCCATTCTCAATTAGTATGTACCTTTTTTTTTTAAGCAAGAACTCTTAATCATTCGTATCCCTCACTAGTTTGTAGTTCTATTTTCAACTAGAGATGTGATTTCTTCCACAAAATATCCTTAAATCATATATTGAAAGATGGACCCTTCTTTTTTGGGATATCTCTACTTGCCATATTATTTGCAAAATTCTAAGGCTATCCTTACCTATCAAATTATCAATTTATAATACAGAGCCGGTTCTGTGAGCATTCTGATCTGGATAGGGTTCACTTTCTTTTGGTCTCTATCGTTACATAAGGAATAACTTTTGAAAAGAGGGTGTAAGCATTCTTTTTTCTTTTTTTTTTTGAAATTGGTAACTTTGGAGAGTGTAAGCATTCTATTAACCTAATTCCTACAGTTGTATGGATTTCCTTGCAAGGACACCTCTGGAATCCTAAGGCAGCTTAGGGATGAAGTTAGTGATATAATTTGTATGTGACATCCATTTAGGAATTATTTGCATCTAATTGTGATAAAAAATGTATGTGGCACCCTTGGGATTTGTACAAATAATCCAAGTCTTGAGGCCTAACTACTGTAGGGACGAGGTGTCTTAGTCTCAATCTTGTCTTAAGACCATCATGTATTCCTGTGTATGCCAAGTTTAGCTTCCTCTGATTTGCTTGATTAATTGTTCTATACATTTGCCCGCAAGACATAATTTAAAGGGCTCCCTTCAGCTTTATATCCTTCATGGAATCTTCCTTTGTACTTTCGCGCATGATGTGTTATTGAAATATTAGCTACTTGTGGGCTATATTTGATCAGTCTGGCTTATTGTATATTGTGTTCCTTGTGATACATTCCTGTCAGGAAGTGAAACATTTGTTGATTAAATTTGACGTGTTTAAACAGCATAAAGCTACTCATTTTTCAGGAATTAAGAGATATTGCAGCAACAGAAACAGTTAAAGGAAAGCATTTCTTTCTTGAAACTGACATCAGAGGGCCTTCACTGAAACTTGACAATACAGGAAAAGCAATACTAACTGTGAGTTGTTCTTTATGTGAAGACAAAAATTACATGTTTACTAATGACTGTAACTTGAAAAAAAAAATTGTACTTTGTAGTTTACACAACTTAGTGAAACTTAAGTGTATTTGAATCTTGACTCGCATCAGTTTTTCCTTCTCAATTTAAGTTTTTATTCAGTTACATTTACATGTCAGGACAATGCTTGTACCTTGACATGTAAAGGTTTTCATCAATTAGTCGATCTCTTAACACTTTTTTCTATTTCAAGTATTCTTTTGCTACTTCACGTTTGACTGAATGGATGTAGGATTGCTTTGAAAATCTTTGCTGATTCATGCTTCAAAAGATAATCTCGAACAATAGATTTTTTTCTATTGTCATCTTTTTATGTTCTGAAAAACTTGACTGTAACTACTTTTAGTGGATTCATGCTGGTTTGATTCATTCTCTTGACAATGCCTTCCATGCCTTAGAAGTTAGAACTATAGCAGCTTCGCGTTGAAACGTGACCACCAATCTTAAACCCCTCGCTCTGTCAAAATCTAATAGGAGCAGCTCAAATAACTAAGCTATTACCATTTAGCACCTCTACTTTCCTTCTCAAATCATTTATCCTGCACCAACTGTACATGCTTGAGGCTCAAAAACTAATTACTCAATATCAGCTTCATGCTTCTTGACACTAATGTAATTTGTCATTGGCAGCTCCTCCGACACCTTGGTCGTATAAGTGAAACTCGAATTGGTCATCACCGTGTGATCCTTCTGTTGAGGCCTCACTGAATTGCTAGCGACCCTCAGGTAGTTTTTTAAACAACTTCATGTGAACTTTTTTAGCATATTACCATTGCCTGGCAACATTCAAGCTCTCCTCAAGTACAGACACCTATCAGAGGAACCTTATGCTGTTTACAGTAAAAAATTGTATGAGATTATTGAACTATTAATGCAGAGTTCATATTAATGGATTAAATGTTAGTGGCAGTGGTTATTGTTGATTTGAGTCCCTTTTTTGGTTGTCAGGCCTCGAGATAACCTTTAGGGGTCATTTGGTTTGAAAACAAGTTATGCAGGAATTAGTCATTCTAAGGTTTGTTTTGCATGGATTTGATAATGCTGAGATTATTTCTTGTTGAATATTTAGTTTTATGTATTGCTCATGCGGTATAATCTAATTTGTTTGTTTAGTTTTTTATCAAAATTAAAGATCTCGTATGAATTTGAACTATTTTATGATTTTGCAAAGAAATGAATAAATTAGGGTATTAATCGTTAAAGACAAAAGGATAGGGTGTAGATTAAAAAAGATGCATATATTAACCCCTTTTTGCTTTATGATCCATTATTATATTGCAAATATATTTGGAAGATCACCCCGAAATGTAGTTGAATGAATAAAATATTTCATCCTTCATAAGATATCTTAAATTCAAGTCCTGAAAATGGAGAAATTTCTAATATATGCTTATCATTTGATGAATTCTATCGGCGCAGGCATTCAATACTAGAAACGAGATGATTATTATACAAACAAAAAAAAAGTACTTGGAAGAATTACAATAATGAATGTAGTAAAATATAAAAGGAATAGATATGATATTACTCAAATATCACAAATTACAAATTTGACTATTATTGGGAGTGCCACTCCTAAATGGGTCCTGCAGAGTACGATTCGGATTTAGTCGAAGCTCCACACCGAGTGAAAAAAGAAAATCAAATTCTTAGAAGTTCCACAAATCCCTATAGCCACTCCACCCAACTTGACCAACAAATTTGTAAATACTCCAATACATTTCAGTTAGGCCATCATCAATTGGTGGCATTTCCACTCGAGCTGCTAACCAATCAATGTACTCTATCTGCCAACAAATTCATGTCATTCTTAATTTCACGTATGGTCATCAAATATTATATAATGATAAAATTATCCTGTCACGTTGAAATTATAGCATACTTGTATCTACTAATGTTTACTTATATAGTCACAAATTCCAATATTAGCCTCAAAGATAGTTATAGGAAAAACCTCGGTAGGGTGAAGACGATGTGTGTGGCGTTTTGGGATGCCGGCTTCCTCAAGTTGCCTGTTATGATCCTCAACATCAGCCAACATCTCCTCCTCTGTTGGTAAAAGCACTTTTCCAGATAAAACTTGTGCAATCCATTTGGCTTGTAATTCAAACATGAGAAACACAATTGCCTGAAAAGTCTACATTTATCATGTCCTAGCAATACCTTAAATTATTCAAGAGCATATAATACAATGTTAAAGAGGTTAAGAAATCACTTTTGTCATGCCAAATAAAATCACTTGTTTGGTTGGGAACACGTTATCCTGGGATAAGTTATTTCACTATGTATTCACTAAGGCATAAATGGTGGGATAAATAATTTTAGGACTGCCTAATTGTTAAGAGTTCCCACATCAGAAAAGGGATGAGAATTTGGTCTCTTTATATGGACTAGGACAATCTTCTCCTCATAAGCTAGCTTTTGGGATTGAGTTAGGTTCAAGATCCATCTCGCCCCCATATCATAGTGGCCTCCATAATATTATTATACCTTATACCTCACACCAAACGACTAACACAGGGAGAATATATGGACTTGGACAATGGACAATCATGCCCTGCTTTTGGGGTTGAGTTAGGCCTAAGATCCATCTTTACACTAAATTTCCAACCAAACGCAGAATAAAATGATCCTAATATTATTATACCTGATACCTCACACCAAACGACTAACACCATGAGAATATGATGTTTGTCATACAAATGTAGCTGACCTGATAAGGTATACCACCAAAGGAGAGGCATGGAGAAAGCTTTGGAGGAAAGACATGTTTGTATAGTGGTCCAACAGCACGGTTCTCATCATCTACACTTACTATTCCATTGGTTTCAAGAAATGGGAAATCATAATTGTATCTGTGCAAGAAAAATAACAATAATTTTGCATGTTTAACCATGTTTCATTGTGAAATTCGAAAAATGTAGCTTTTTTTTATTCAAAATGGAAAATGATATTTGAAAAATAAGTATTTCATCAAAGAAATGCAACAAAAAAGAATTGAGATTTGAACTAAACCCTGTACAGTGGAGAATGATATCAGCATGAATAGATGATCCATCTATGAAAGTCACTTCACCATTTTCATCAACATGATCAATCTGCCAAAAAAGTTCCATATTAGCTCCTAGCACATTTGGATAGGTCAATTAACTCGACTCATTTTAATCCGTCTAAATTCAGCATTTGACATCCCTACTATCTTCCCATGCATAGTCAACAACATTTAAACAATTATTACCTTTTCTTGGTTCCATAGATTTGCATAATTGTCCAGTTTTGAAACTTCAATTTCAGAAGATCTTGTTGTGAGATGAACTTGCTTGGCTACAGTAGCAATATCTCTGGAAATATCATGTCCACTTGGTCCATCTCCAATTACAACTACAATCTGAATACAAATCAGTTAACAAGAAATTTTTGTAACATATGAAGCACAAAATTATGTATGAAACTTTAAGAACTAAAAATGAAAAAAAAAAAAAAGTATAAAGGTCTTGCCTGATCCTTAAATGGCTCAGGAACTCGATAATTGTGGCTATGTATTTGTTTTCCAGGCCAATTGTTTATACCTTTTAGATATTAGCTAACAAGAATTAGTTCAAAAGATAACCAATAACTCCCATTACATTCACCATATTGAGAGTGCAACAAGGTAAAAATGTTTTTGTTTTAACTCCCCCGCGCGACAATCATGGTGTCTAGATCAATTTGTGCACACCTCGATAAATTTCACGAATACCTATTAATTTGCATCAGCATAAATACCGAATTTCTGTCTTCCCAAATATTTGAACTTGAAACTTCATGTTTTTATTTAACTCTTGCCATCCTAATACGTTTTCACTATTTTTGTTTTCACGAAGATGGTACTGGGCAGTGGGCAGGTACCTGTTACGTCCTGCAATAATATTTTTACCTAACAAAACAAAGTGTTCATCTTCTCACTTTCTCACGTAATTTATATTAAATATATAAAAAGACGATTGAACATTCCATACATAAATTGTGGTTAAATTAATATTGAAAAATAGACAAAAGTTTGGGAAGGACCAAAAGTGCACCAATATTACAAACATGAGAGACTATTACTATTCCATGTGAAAATTCAAAAATGACTTTGAGTCTTAACTAAAAAAATAATGGACTATTTTGGAGTTTTTCTCCATATCTTTGTGTCAAAAGTTGGTGAAACCAAAATTTGTGGACCAAAACTTTTTTTACTTTTTATTTGTAGTAAATACTTTAATTTCTAACATATTTGAGTTGATAATTTGTCGAAAATTGTCTTTTTATCTTTTCAAAGTAGGGGTAAGATTGCACACACCAACTTCCCCAAATCATGAGATTACACTAAGGACCCGTTTGGCCATAGATTTCCCAAATATTTAAATTGGACAAATAGTGTTTGTCCATAGAATTTGCCATTATTTGGCAAATATCCCAAATTCTCAAATATTAATTTTTTCTAGTATTTGGGTCAAATCTCATTATTTGGGACTTTTAAAAAATGAAATTTTACATCAATTTTTTATCTTTTACAAAAACACCCTCTATAGTAGTTGTTTACGTTGTATTACATAATTTTGTACGTGAAACCAGAATAGTGATGAAATATTCAGTGATGATATGATTGTTGATGAAAATGATGAACAATCGGCTCAGGATAACAAAGTAATGTGTTTTGTCTACTTTACGATGTACAAAATGATGTTTGTTGCACTCACTCCAAACTACCACATTGTTCCAGTGTCATGAACACTATTTGTTATTTATTGTAACGAAGATTCAATTGACTTGTAATATAAACTTATGATTAGTTGTGATGATTTTTAAAACTTATGAATATAAATCATATTTTTCTAAAAAAATAAAATATATTTCCCAAATACTTTGGCCAAATACATGGTGAAATTTCACCGAAATAATATTTGCCAAGAATATTTAGAAATTTATGACCAAACGCTAGCTAACACTTTGTTTGGATGATTGTTAGACATTAATTCATAATATATTATATTATTTTAATAAATATTATGCGTTGATAAATTATATTGTTCTCTATCATTACATAATGTAACTCATCACTTATTTGAATGATAAATGTATAGTTAATGTCCTTTTATTTCTACTATTTGTCAAAACAAAAAAAATAGATTACTTGCCTGGAATATTTGCAATTCTGGGTGTTGTATAGTGACCATTACAAATCACTACAGAATCAAACACCTCTTCTGAACTTAACTCCTCCGATTTCGATTCAACGATCCAACGATTTCCCCCAAATTCAACCGGCGCAACTCGTACGACCTCTGTGTTGAATCGGATCAACTCATTGATCCCAAAATCCTTAGCGAACTCATTCAAAAACTTCAATACTTCTTCGTGCCCAGGAAAGTTCAATCGGTTCACATTTTCTGCACAATCGAAAGAGTAATCGCTGAAACTCATGAGTTGTCGAGGAAGATTTGTTCGAAGAGATTTGTAAAGACTGCTATGAATAATTTCTCTGTTTGGATCGAAACTGAGTAGATCGGTCTCAACTCGAGGATTGTAAACCCATAGACCACCCAGTTGGTTCGATTTCTCGAACACTACAACTCGGTGACCTTCTCTTCGTAGCTCACGCGCCGTCACAAGACCGGATGCTCCGGCTCCGATTACTGCTACTTTCCGGGATTCCGCCATGGGAGGAGACTATTGAGCTGAAAAAACAGAATTTGAAAAGAAGCGGCAGCCAATTACTACTTACTAGCCACT